GGTTTTCAGGGATGATTTCTGGAAGTGGATCACCAGACTTTCCTTCCTAGTCTGTCTTAGTCTGGAAGCTCTGCTGAAACCTATTTAGCATCATAGCAGCACGCAAGCCTCCAATGACAGACATGGGTGGCTGTGCATTGGCTGGGAATTGAACCTGGATCTCCTGCACAGGAAGTGAAACTACTACTACCAGTGAACCATCACTGCCCTGTGTAATAATCCTGCAGGATTCCATTCATAAAGTGGCCCTTCGTACTAAAGTCAAGTGGCTGTGAAGACCTTGGAGAGACTGCTTGTACATCCAGTGTGTGGAGCAGATCTCATGTAAGAGTGGAGATCATATGGCAACTAGGCAAACATGTTAGTGTTTACAAGTTGCACTACCCTAACTGATTCTCTGCCAAGAGAGAAACATTAATGGGAAGCCAGAAAATTAGGTCCTTCATTGATGGTGGTTGAGGTGTGAGGCAAAGGATAACAGCACAGCACCCAACTGTCAGTACCATGTGGAAAGTATTACCAGGCACAGAAGTTTAATCTCTATCTTTGTGAGATTAGAAGCCACCCCATGGCCATTTATTTGTGAGGACAGAGACTGAGAATAATGGGGTACCCAAATGTCTGATAAAGAGCAATTCCGACTCAGTCTATCTTTCCTTTCATTAAATTTAAGGCATTTTAAGGAAAAAGTACCATGCTGCATTTCTAGCCTTTTCCTAAAAGGCTGTGTTCAGATGGTTTAATTACTGAATCACACCATCATATCATCAGGACTGCCTCCATCTCTTGTGGGGCCCACTGGAAAATAAAAATGGGCAACTCATTGTTCAAAAATATTACAAGTTTTAAGATTGTGACAGCAGAGCATTAAAGCAAGTGTTCAGCCTTTTGTGAATACACAGGTCACATGGTCATGAAGGTGACCCCACATATCATCAATATTGAGAGCCTGGAAGATTTCAAGTAAACAAAAAGCGAAAACAAAGGTGTTCAGCACTTGCTCCAAAACAACGAATCACCAGTTTCTTATTGCCATGGATATTGGTCACTCTCTTTCCCTGAAGTGCCTAAAACTAGAGCACTGGGTTAGTCTGTGACGTTTTCATCACCCTGTCACACAAGCTTCATGTCTGCTTTTATTAGGAGTGTGAAGTTGTGGATCTTTGTTTGGGGGAAAACACAGCATTGTTGAAATTACTCTGGTTGAGATGTTCAAACTTCAAGTAAAGTGTATGAAAGAAAACTTTGCTCAAGTTACATGAAAATAAGTGTGGAACCGATTAGTAGCAAAATGAGGTCTATTCATCCAATGTTACTGGAATATATGGTGGCCACAGGTGAATTTATTCAGGTATCTGGAGTCATATCTTTAAGCATCACACCTGTTTATAGTGACTGGAACAACTCCAGAGCCAAGATTATAGGAGTTCATTGAACATAATTTCCTGATGACTGGAGGGCCCCTGAACATCAATGACAGTGCTGGGCTATTGTGACAGCAGAGCATTAAACCAAGTGAGGTCCTCGGGCACAAGAAAGGGACTGGCCATTTGCCTCTAAATCAAGAGCTGGTCTGGTGGGCTTTTGGTAAACTGGAGATCCCCTCTGAGCCAGGACCTCTTCAGCGCCAGTGGGCCCCTGCCGCCACTGTTATGGTACCGGCCCTCACCCATGGTTGTGGACAGTGCCTCAGATCCATGAAGAATTTTTCCCAAATAACCTTTCTTCACTCTTTTGCATTTGCCACCTTGGATCCGCAATGGGCTGAGATGCAAGCTGACCTCTGTTTTGCACATTTTGACAAGTTCAGGTGCGGCTCTGGGCTCCTAGTAGAGGCCTGATGGTTTCACTCAAAGTGACTGGAAATTTGTAGCAGTTTGTTATAACTTGGGGGCTTTTACCTTCCCATCAGGACTGATGGCTATGCTGTTAGTGCCAGGCACTTAGGTTCCTTCTACATACCTGTCCTTCACAATTTCTTAGAAGAAAGAATAAAAAGAGGAATTGACTTCTTAAGGCAGAATTGATAACTGGCACAAGCACAGGGCTTGACGGGGACTTTTGCACACTTTAGGTCCTAACTGGAACAAAGTCCACCAGAGGAATGTGGTACACTCTCTACAAAATAGCTTTCTGGCTGGTCCAGGGGAATAAATCTGTGCATTTGTAGACTATGCAGGAAAAGCCTTTTCTAGAGCTAATATTCATTGAATATTTATGATTTATGGTGTGTTCTACATATTTTACATTAAACTCATTTAATCCTTGCAACAAATCTATGAGGTACGTACTGTCAGCCTCATTTTACAAATAAGGAAACAGAGGCATGGTGTGACCTGCCTAAGGACTCTACTGGAAGAGAACAGAAGCTCGGGCAGACACTGCTGAGGCAATGCTCTTAATGTCTGTGCTATTCCATGGTCCTATGGGACGTATTTGCAGGCATGGCAGAGAATCAAAGGAACAGGACAACTTAGGTTTTAACCCTATGCCCAGCTTTGCATGAGTTATCTGACTTCAGTGCCAATGTCACACATTTGTTGAGATTTACCATCATCACTTAAAGGCAGAAAGTAGCGTGCCCTGGGCCACAAAGCTCCAGGCCAAATTGGGATTTAAAGTTCTGTCTGTCTAGATGGACACATACTCCTTTCCACCACCCCAAGTCAAGCTTAAGGATGTTGTACCTGATTTTTGACTGAGAGCCAAGGAGATAAATTCTACTAAGTCTGGAAATACCAGAATTAAGCCAGAAGGCAGGAAGAAAGTGTCTCCTAGCTTTCACAATGAACTTTCCAAGTGGAGACATAGAGTGGGAGAGAAAATGGTTTGTTCCAGATGTCTATTAGCAGAGCTATGAGAACAACATTGTTCAATACAATTCAAAGAGATAATACAGTTGGTAAAATGATACTTGTCTAAAATTTTTTGAGAGACAAAACAATGTTTCTACAGATACAGGGTAACCTTGAAAAGGATTTTTCTTCCCAAAAGTGTTTTGCCAGCTGGAGGAAAAAGAAATAAAAGGAAATATGAAAAACAACAAGAGAATACAATGAGCATGGAAGAACATCATTAATCTTCTATTCAAATGGAAGTCACAGCTGCAGAATGGTGAGAGGCTTTAACAGAGATTCTGCTCAGTGACAAAAATATAAGGGGATGTACTCAGAATTGGATAAGTGATCTAATTACATACCTGATTCTGGAGTCTTGCAAATTATCCCCAAAACACCAGTTAAATTGTCCTTAGCTGAAGTTGCACATAACTCTTGACATTATTTACAAGAAAACAAGTTAAAATAATTTAACAAAATATTTGACTTGTACTTTCTTATAAATGTTAATGGTATTGAAGGATTTTCCCTGTGTAGATTTGGTGTGCGCACATGAAGAAAGACTGGGGTGGTGGCAGAAAGGAGACAGCAAAGAGAAGGAAAACCTGGGAGCGGAAAGGAGCTCTGGTGGCCTAGTGCCTAAGGCATTTGACTGCTAACCAGAAGGCTGGCAGTTCAAACCCACTAGCCACTCTTTGGAAGGAAGACTGGGAAATCTACTTCCTAGAGATACCACTTCAGAAATCCAAGGTGGGGTCACTATGAGTCAAATCAACTCAACGGCAATGAGTTTGGTTTTGGCTTTTTTGAGTTGGGCAATGGCAGCACAGCAGAGGGCAGGGGAAGGGAGGGAGAGCCCTAGAGCTGACGCCCTGCTTAATTCCAATTCTACTCTTCACTAATAAACTTAAAAGAGTTGACCCTTGAGATAGCTCAAGTATGAAACAAATATATATGTGAAGGGATCATGAACTCTCAAGTTATCATGAAAAATATTTGTTGAATAACTTCTATGCATTGGCCCCTGTATCACTGTTTTGTTTTTTTTTTTTTAATGTGGGAAACTTCTTTAGGAGACAAGGTAGTTAATAGAGATGTGGTCTGAATTTTACACTAGGTACAAGTTATGAGACACTGCCTTCTAGAAAACAGCAACATTCCTTATGATATGATAAAAATAAATTTATTTGAGGAGACACAATCATATTTCTTTGCTTGACAAGGGCAAATCCTCACTACAATGGAGGTTCAGTTGTTAAAATGAGTGACCACTGCTACAATATACTTCCCATGTCATTTGTGTACAATCACCAACTAGCATGGGTAGCAGGGTGGCCAAATAACTCAGTTTCCTGTTCATCCCACTGACTAAGCCAACGGTTGCTTCATATCACACTGAAGAAGAAAAGCTTCAGGAAAGCAAGCCAAGAAATGTCTGCTGCTCGAGGATTTTTTTGTTTGACTTCAGTACAATCTTTACATGGCTTAATAGTTCTTCAGCTTAGTCTCTAATTCAGCAGAGCAGCTAACTTCGTTTCTGTGTGGACCAGGAAGTAACAATAAGTCTTCTAACCCAACAATCACTTTCAAAACAATGAACAACGAACATACATCTTTAAACACATAGCTTTAAAAAAACATTACTTTGTAGTCTCTGAAATGTGATTTTTTTAAAATCCCAACATTACCACGTCATAAATTAAAAGATCATTAGTAATTTTCATTGTTGTTAGGTGCCTTTGAGTCAGCCCCGACTCATAGCGACCCCTCCTTGGGTTTCCAAGGTAGTATCACTACAGAAGTAGGATTGCCCAACCTTCCTTCCGAGGAGTGGTTGTGGGTTTGAACGACCAGCCTTCTGGTTAGTAGTCAAGTGCCTTAGGCACTATGCTACCAGAGCTCCATTATCATTGCTCTATTGCACTAGTGCTCAGAAATAGCCTGTGGTCTATGTTTCACCATCCAAGTTTGAAAAAGTAACTTTGGGACTTTGGTCAGGGTTAGCCAACTGCCAGTCATTCTTCTTTCTCACTCCACAATAAAATAGGTCAGTATTTTTGGAAGTGCCAGTCCAAACCATCCCTTTGCATTGTTACTGAGGTCCCTTCTGTATTGTCACTGGATAAGGATACTTGAAACTTGATTGTCTTTAGCACAAAGATTTTAGTTAAATAGTATTAAGTGGTCATCACTTCCTTTCCTGTAACAGAGAAGGGGGAGAAGAAAAGAGAAAAGAGAACACTGATTGAAAAATCTTTGAGGGGGAAGAGAAACAATCTATATACTGGGTACATATAGATTATAGACATGATAAGTACAATTAGGAGTCTCTGGGTGGCACAAAAAGACAAGTGCTTGACTACCAGCCAGAAGGCTGGCAGTCTGAAGCCACCCAGAAGTGCCGCAGAAGACAGACCTGGCAATCTTCTTCTGAAAGATCACAGTTTTGAAAACGCTATGGAGTACTTCCACTCCATACACATGAAGTCACCATGAGTCAGAACTGACTTGATGGCACCCAACAACAGAAGTACAACTTATATTTAAAAATGTTTAAGGAGGGGACTCCATTCAGCTTTCCCATGCTGAAGGTTTCCCTTTTTTAAGATAACTGTGTTTGTTTTGTCTTTGTCCTGTCCAAGGCTTAATAGAAGTGTCTTTATTAAAAAAAAGAAATCTTTGAAGAGGAATAGGAGTACTCTATATACTAGGTACATATAGATTATAGACATGCTAAGTACAATTTATAAAAGGATGAAAAATTAAGAAGATTTACATTATTTTAGGTTTAAGCACCTGTTT